ATATAATATGTCTAAGAAATAGCTTCAATTTCTAAGGCGTTGCTCTAGTCACAATTGCAGTTGGAAGAAAATTGGATACAATTTTCAATACACAGTCTCTCGAACTATACTTTATTATTGATAGACTCTAAGGTGGTGCAGGTTTCTCACATAGGAATGGGTACTTCAAATCACAGTGCTTATCCAACCATTTCTTATCCTTTGCCATGGCAACACACTTCCTTCCTGAAAMCTTTGGCASTGGATTGTAGTCTGGTAGGTTCMTAAACTGCCCCWCAGGGGTACCATCAGACCAGCTAAAGCCATCACTGCCTTCTGGGTTGTTGAGACCAATCCATACTCCTTGCTCATGCCAATCTAAAATCGTATTGTGGCRTATGATTATAATTTGTTAATATTGACGTTCAYGTTAAGCCGAGAGTGAYATTCTYATGGGACACCTTCACAAGTACATGTCTTGTAACTATAGACCCCTTGCATGTGACGTCAAAACAGCTTCATCTGGAGGACAAAACAAAAGATTTTTATCCTCTTGGGAACTAGAATCTATTGTTTTGTCCTCCAATTGGAGCTGCATTCCCATGAACTGCAAGGGGTCTATTGGACTATCACACAATATGAATTATTCAAATCTTGTTTACTGTAATGAATTTCTATACTGTTTTGGAACAGTAAAATTAACACTTCACACTTTTCCCCACTTTTTATAGGATAGCATTTAACAATAACTACTTACATTATGAGTAAAGTAGGTCCGTGAAATAGATGTTAGACTAATACACCGCGTGAAACGCCACARTTACATTGCTTTCTTTTMTATGTATTYGACTACCACACTTTAAGATTTAGAGTTTCAGAGGTTTAATAACCCGAMTCTATTGTTCAMGCTGTTACTAAACAAAACAGTTACAAAATGGACGCTAAAAAAGGAAGGCACACGCATGGGTTTCACGAGAAGGAATTGTTTTGYGGTTTTAAGGCAATGAAGATGGTAWAATGAAAAAGGCGATTGACTTCAAAATTGCGMGAGTAATGTTTTGGATTCACGRCAAAGAAACTGTTGTACCGTCYGAAAATKTGTTACRCGTTGGCTAATATTTAAGACWTCTCTGCCAAGGAATCGAAGGACGGATCCCSGAACCACTGGAATCACCCYTGCGTACTCCCCTGGSTTTTGTCACCTCAGATTACAGAASTAAGTTACCCCGACTTATAATGCTTATAATTCTTACTCCACCGTCATACAATATTTTTTTAAAAGTTTCTATAGTATACAAAAAGAAAAATSACGTTTTGGTAATTGGTATCATAGACKTTGCCTCTAAAAAGGAAGATCGCTATTTTTTTTTTTCTAATAGTTTTAATTTCTTCACGGTTCCTTGCGCCATTTTGAAAGGTAAACGTGCTTTTGTATGAAAGCAAGATSACCTGCAGGTGTAAAAGAAAGTTCCTATCATTGCACGCTCAACGGTTGAYTCGCTTCRATGTAAAGGCACGGCTACCTTTCAAGATGGCGCTGGGAACCGTGAAGGAGACTATTCATTCATATTTTAATAAATAATTTTTTCTTATTCTATACATTAATTAAGCAAGGTTGTACGTACACATAATAGTTTGCATGTTGTGTCTGGAAATGGTGGTGTTCACAATGACCAAATGTTTGTAGAAGCCATGAAATCCGTGTGTCCAATGTCCAAACCGAAAGAGTATGTTACTTGTCTCCAATGAAGTGACTGAATTTTGATCACGAATCGTCCAGAAGCCATTCTTGCCAAAGAGGATCATTGTTCCGTTTTTATTCCGAGAAAAATGAAAATACTGCCAAGCGTTTGAATCGAATCTTTTGAAAAAAAAAAAAAAATCAGCTATTAATTGAAATAAAACAAAAATATTTTAAAAAAATTTCTGGGCATCGTTTTGAAATGTCATCACTGAACGTGAGCCGATCAGAAGCCAATCGGGATGCTGGGTTTGTGATAGTCCATAATATAGTGGATATACGAATGGACAATTTCGTACACCAAAGCATGATGGTCGTTATATACCATCCTCCTCTTATGCTTTGTTTTTTTAGAATCGAAAAAAATTCTTCTATTTTTGCAAAGGGAAGAGAAAACGGCTAAGATGGACTGTTTTAGTCAACATAAAAAAATTAGAGAACAATAATAACAACTCCCATCGTCCTTTGTCAGACAGCGTCGCTGTACATTGCCGATTGAACTTGACCTTTAAATACAATCATCAAATTCATTATTATAAAATTTTTGATATATAACGCGCGCTCTGATTGGCTGACGACCGTGTTTATATCAGAGGACAGAGACCACGGCTTACCGGCAAAATTTCCTTYTCGCTCGCTACGCTCGTGTTCACAAGCTTGCTTCTCTCGTGTTTTTCGAACTCCCACCGTGATTATATCAGAGGACAGACACACGCGTGCCGTTTTATATTTCTTAAATAATTCATAAGGTAAACACAATGGAAAATCATTGCCGTGACCGCATCTTTATATGAGCATGAGATTTGTCCTAATTTGCATACGACTTTAACTTTTTCTTACAAATGATATTTTATCCTGAAGTTTTTTTTCGAAATATGCTTTGGCTTATGCTGGAATTTGATAAGCAATACAAAATATTCGCGTCCGACCTTTATGGGCTATAAAACTTGCAGGTCGAAGTTCTAAATGCCCATAAAGGTCTCCCGCTCATATTTTATATATAATAGTATTATTAAGTATTTAATTTTGTTTAAGAGATTAAAAACAGTTTTATTTGTTAATTAGTTAAAAATGATGTGACTCTTACCTAACTCCCCCAAGATATTCTTTTTTGTAATTAAAGTTTATGTAATTTCCAAATTTTCCAAATTTAAATTTTAATATGATTTCATTATCTTTGATAAATCTAAAGACCATCGCCGACTCAAGAGGTTCCAGTGGTTTTAACCAAAAAAGTATGRYGAAGCCATGTGGATTTAAATTTATGGATGGTATTCCAACATGACGACCCATTTGTCCATCTAGATAAAGAGCTTTCTCTCTTCCATCGTTCGTGTAGTTAACTTCATTTCCTTTTTCGAATATCCTGCAATAATGAGTGAGTCATATGAATTGAACAGATTCATAAAAAAGGAAAAATATCGAGTATGAAAATGGAATTTAGTGAGAGATACTGAAAATGGTTTTGTACTTGCAAAACTATCTATGTCTTGGTTTGGCTGTTTTTGTTAAAGATTAGAGAAGTGATTCAAACCTCTGCGCGCTGTGTATTATCCAAAAATATCATAATGTGCTCTAACACTGTTGATGGATCAAGGAAGGCAAGAACAAGATGATGGGTGCTATAATAGCACATGTTACCACCTACACACCTACGTAACGTAGCCAACATTGACTGATTCTCATCTCAGAGCACAACAGGTTTAAATTTATAGTACTCAGTCTATTTTCAGTAGCAGTGAATACAATCTCTTATTTGAGGAGAAATGTTTAGGTCAAGCTCTTGACCATGACTTAYGATACTTACTCTTTGGGMTCATCTCCGTTGAGCTTCAAATGTATGTGTGGCTTGGTAAACTTTTTATCTAAGAAAATACAAACTGTTTTAAAACAAGTTTATAATCCATCAACATTTATTTCGACTTTTGTTTTRTTTGGCTTTAAGTAATAACAGTATCACCTTYCTGCATGTACGTCAMATTCAGGCTCTCCACAAARACATCATTTACAAAGTCATTCTCRTGTGAGCTGGTAATAGAGAGAAGATCACCACCTAATGACTGACAATGGTTACGCGCATCGGTCCAGGTTTTTTTCTCTTTAAAGAGTTTGATAGCAGCATCTCCATAACGAAGCCAGCCATTTCCTAAATCTGTGAAAATGTTCATTTTGGATTAAGTCTTTCTTGAGGTGAATTCAGCCGTTTGTTATGATAAGATTCCCTACCATTCGATACCGTTTTGTAAATATAAGTAAATACCTCTATGGTTATACCAACTCTTGAGTTCCGTCCTTACGAGATATTTACAGATTTGCTAAGCCTCGTGCATAACGCTAATTGACCATTTATATATGCACTAGACTACTTTATACATCTTATTAAGGTTTCAAAATCTGTCGTACTCATAGTTTTTGTTTTGTTTCTTTTTTCGTTTCGTTTCGTTTCGTTTCGTTTCGTTTCGTTTCAATTAGTTTCGTTTCGCTTCGTTTCGTTTTGTTTCGTTTTGTTTATTTTGTGTTGTTTTGTTTTGTTTTGTTTTGTTTATTTTGTGAGGTTCTCATTGTTTCCATTTGTTAAACTTTGGATTTTTAGACCCTACTTAACTACTCTTCAGGGTCCTTCGGGGGAGCTATTTTGATAATGATGATGATATTATGGGACATAACTTGAGTTAAAGCTATATATAGAATGGTCATTATGTGAAGATAATGAGAAGAAAGCCGAAGTAATAGTGAATATTGATAAGGCTTTGATAGCGTTTATCTTTGCGGTAACTTTTGAATAGAATCATTTCTGCATGATAGCTGATTGATTTTCACTTTGATTATTATCAGATAATTTGTGTAAATGCAGTACCTTCTTTCCTTTTGCAATCATAGACTTTGCAGTTGATAGGACTGAGGTTCTGAAATTTTGGAAAACAAAATTAACTTGTTACTGTTACTGAGGAGTTTTTTTTTTTCTTTTTTACTTCTTTTGAGTTTGAAGTTTCGCAATCCTCACTTATAATGTCATTAGATTAATCAATAATTTATTGAATATTCAATAACGATTGCAAATTTGGARAAAATGAAGGGAAGACAAACGAGAAGTATAAGATAAAATCACTTAATTAAATGAGGGTGTCGCTCCATATGCAGTAATACTCTTTTACGGAATAAGCTTGTAGGAGTACCGTAACCTATCCATATTCAACCTCCTTCAACTGAATCACCCTTAAATGAAACTTGTTGAGGAAAGTACAGTCACGGATTCGTCATAACGAATTTAGTACGACCAGTTATAACATGGTTAATAAGTACTATTTTTTAACATATACCTTCATTTCGTGGTAGGACCATCCATGTCTGGACACCAATCTTTCTGGRTATGCTTTTACACTTGAATTATTCAGTTCACACTCAAACATCCCTTCACTTGTCTTTTTAACGTTTATTGAAAAACACCATGGCAACCAAACACAGTCACTCCAGCAGAGGTTGACAAGATGGTGGGTAATAGTTTTCATCACGTGACTTGTGAGTGCTCGTCCGTCRACGGCAGCAAAGCGGTACAYTTCACAAGYATAGAGAGTTTGTATGAAGATGGCGATTGCCAACAAAAATATATGCTTATTCATCAAGCTCATGTTGAAGACCAAAGTAACTTGTTATTGCCTTCGTGTGGTTGTTAATTGGTTGATTAGTTTGTCTTTCTGGAACGTCTGTTGGCCGGGTGGATCGGTAACGCGAGGATAAGATATATACAAAGTAGTGGGAACTAGCGGTAAACTAGTGTGAGCTGCGTAAAAGAAACAGTAGTGTATAAAAAGAKAAATTTAACACTGTAAGAAAAGTAGGTGAAATAACTTACTGACGGTTTGGACATTAATCCTTCGTCGGCGGAGCAAAGAGCTACTTCGACGAAGGATTAATGTCCGAAAAGTCCGTAAGTTATTTCACCTACTTTTTTTACGGTGTTAAATTTATCTTTTTACACTACTATATACAACATACGTGGCTTCTGAAGTAATAAACAGAGAAATTGATTTTTTCACTGGAATATAGTCTACTCTGACCCTTGAATGAAGGACTGGCAGGCGAACTAATTCAATTAGTCCATTTGCAATATCTTATATTCGTTCAAAGTATAAGGTGGACACTATAGGTCAATAGAATAGACTTGAATAATCCGGACTCTTGTTATGAAAGGACGCATGCCGGAAGTCCTGCTATTGTGTTAGTCTATTTTTAATCTTTCTTTCAACATCAATACCTTAATAGCACAGAGAAGGAATGGATTGCTTGAAAGGTATGCAAAATGTATATCTTGGTGACGTTAATGTTTTGTTCCCAAGCAAATATTGCGTAATTTTTTTTTAAATGAAAAATGTTGTTTGGGATGATTAAAACATCCAAGAAAGGTTTATGAAGGCAATATTTGAAATTATTAAAATTATTTTGAAACTTCAAAGGTGTCGACTGTGGAGCTAATTTCGTTTTTCGCAAACTAGTTTTCAAATTAAACAGATTCTGTCAGTCTTAAAAAAGTGTCATTGAAATATGACTCAGTTTACTTTGGTCGTATTTACTATTTGGTTGAAAATTACC